AGGTGTTTTTTTACTAATTCTCTAGCAAGATTTTTGGTTAAAAGATCCACTAAGTTTTCACTTTACCTCACATAATTTATAATGATCACTTCATCTGAAATTAATTGTCTAACATAGCGATATCTTAATCCAATATGTCTAAACTTTTCGTTATATACTTGGCTATATGCCTTTGCTAGAGTTGTTTCACTTTTACATCGGATAGAAATTGAAAAAATTAGTTTAGGCCATAAAGGTATTTCATATAGTAAATTTTTTAGCCATTCAGTTTCTTAAGTTGTTAAGGCTAATGCAATAAACTCGGCTGCCATAGTCGAATTTGTTATGCATGTTTGTTTCTTAAAATCCCAAGAAATAGCACTTCCACCAAGTACAAAGATCCACCCACTTGTAGAAGTATGATCTTTCATATTTGTAATCTAACTAGCATCGAAATATCCTTCTATAACTAAAGGGTATCCACTATAACACAATTCATAATTGATTGTTTTCTTCAAATATTGAAGTACTTTTTTAACTGTTGTCAATGCAAGTTACTTGGATTCTTATGTACTTACTCGACTTTCCAATAATAAATGCTATATCTGGCCTTGTACAAGTCATTGCATATATTAGACAACCAATTGCTCATGTATATTGCAATTGATCGATTGTTTTATCAGTATTAATTACGAATTTCAACTGAAAATCCATGGATGTAGATGCTAGAATACAGTAAAAAATATCAAACTTTTAAAGTACTTTTTCTATATAATGCGATTGTGACAAGGTTATGTCACTATCATTCCAGATTATTCTAATTTCAAGAATAACATCCGCTACACCTATATTTTTCATTAAAAAATTATTTTATAAAAATTTATTTATTTCTTTAACTTGTTTTGAATTAGTGCCAAATATTAGCATATCATCCACATATAAGCAAATTATGACTCTTTTGCCATTTTCGAATTTGCTATGTATACATTTATCTAACTCATTAATTCTAAAACTATTAATAATAACGATTTCATCAAACTTTTGGTGCCATTGCTTTGGTGCTTGCTTAAGTCCATACAAGGACTTTGCAAGCTTTCAAACCTTATACTTTTTACCTGGAATGATAAATCCTTCCAGTTGTTCCATATATACTTCATTCTCTAATTCACCATTTAAAAATGACTTCTTACATTCATTTGATGTATAATCAAATTCTAAATTGAGGTAAATGAAATTAGAAGCCTAATTGTAGTAATTCTAGCTACTAGAGCATAAGTATCAAAGTAGTTTATCCCTTACTTTTGTGTAAAGTCCTTGCATACATGTTTTGTTCTCTTAATCAACCCACCAAAATTTATCATTTTTAAACATGTTGATCTCGAAAATCATGGCAATAAAATTTTCAAAAGTATCCCCTTTTGAGGAATCATTTTTTTCTATAGCAATTGACATTCTTTTTTGAAATATCCTAGTTTACAATAATGGTAACATAAGCATTTCTTATTCTTCTTGAATTTAGATCTATTAGCAATATGCTTGAACTTGAACTTCTTTTTGTCAAGTTTTGTAGTCTATCTTTCTTCAAAAACATGAATTTTGGCATCATCAGAACTGAAATTCTATTTTTTTTTTTTTGTATTCCTTTTCAATTCAAAGATGATTAGCCAAAGTCTCAAGAGTGATTTTCTCTTTTTTATATTTCAAACTTCTTTTAAAATCTTTCTATGATAGAGGAAGTTTGTCTATTACAGAGGATACAATAATTGTTTCATCTATACTCATATTATATTGTTTAAACTGATTAAGCATTCTTTCAATTTCATGTAGTTGTTAAATCATAGAACGTCCATCAACCATATGATAATTATTGAAATGACTAACGAGAAATTTCTTACTTGTTGCATCCTTGATCATATACTTGGTTTCCAATTTATCCCATAACTTCTTTACAGTAGCCTCGTTTTGATAGGTATCAAATAGGCTGTCATACATATCGTTTAGAATATGGCCTTTACATATTTAGTCTGCATTATCTCATTTTTCCTATCTCTTGTTGCAGTAACATTTTCTTTTGTTTTATTTTCTTCTGGCCTAGGAGTAGTCATAACATATACAACTTTCAAGGTTAAAAGTAGGAAATGCATCTTCTTTTGCCATCTTTGAAAATTGTCATCATCAAAACAATCCAATTTGACAAAACTAGAACCAATTCCTTGAGAGTTGCTTCAGTAGCCATTGTTGAAATGAAGAAAACTTTAAGATTGTTAGAGCAAACATTGAAAATCTAAAATTACTGCTTTTGGTAAATTTGAAATTTTGAGGAAAGGCTCTAAGGCGTATAACGATGCCACTTTCCTTGAAAGTTTTATTTGCCTTCACCGCATTATTTAATTAGTAGGTGTGCAAAAAGGTTACAAGCAATAAACGTTGAGGATACAATAAAGCCTAACAACTGACTGCATTTTGCATTGACGAAATCAATCCATCAAGTATTTATCGACATATTACAATATCACTGAATTTCTATAAAGATATTATGCAGAAAAACTTTTATAAAAGAAATCTAGAGTTTGAAGAAAGAAGAAAAGTTTCAAGAATTATTTTATATATGTTTTCAAAAAACCAGAAGAACCTTTTATAAACAAATAAGTGTTTTTTTTCTATAGATATGAATGTTTATTTTGAATAGACAAAAACTGTATATTTTTTAATAGACAAAAACTGTCTATTTTTGAACAGTTAAAACTATTTATTTTGAATAGACTTATCTTTATGTTTTGAACAAATTTAACTATCTATCTTTATTTTTTTTCAATTTGAGATTATTTCTTATAATTTATTTTAAAAATCTCTAATATTTTGTGCATACTTTGTTTTAGAGACAGAGAAGCTAATCCTTTTATTCAGTCTTTGAATAGAACTGAATGGTTGGTGGTAGATAGGATCAGTTACATGGGAGTCATGAACCTCTGTTTTTTGTAGGTTGTAACAGTTTTTGCTGTGGTTTGTAGCTTGGAACCTCCTTTGATAAGGTTGCATTTATAATCATTTTGCTATACAAATTCATATACTTTTTGGCTGAGAAAAATAAAATGAAATTACAGTTTTCAATTAACAACAAATATAGTAACCAGAATTCATAATAACTATATATGATAAATTGGAATGTGAAGGGGAGATTATTAAGAAAACTGACACCTTGGGTTTTGCCGTTTTGGTTGAGATGAGATGAGCACCTTCGTTTGCATGGCTGCTACGTGTATTACCTAAGGTTTAGGGCCCTAAGGGGACAGGAAGATTGGAAGCGTGCATGGTCATTGTTCATCAGTTTACTTGTCTCTATCCAAAACCCACGATCACAACACTCTTTGGATCTCCTTAATCATTACTATTTCACGTTGGGAATTGGATTGGTAACCCATATTTAAGAAAAAAAAAACAAGAAGACTTATATTTAGAGAATGAATTAAACTGGATCCATTAGATTCCATTTTTTGTTGGGCTCAAGCTTTGTAACGGTAGAATTATGGTATACATGGACGCAACGCCAATAGTCGGAGGAAATTAAATTGAGTTCACTCTCCACTTTACTTATTCATTGAAGATCATGATGGAGATCAAATAATTTGTTCTTATTAATAAAGAGTAATTTAGTGAAGGACTTATATACAATTTTTTTTAACAAAGGATGATATAGTTTCGAGGATAAAAAATATTACAAAAACTAAAATTTAAATATCAAATTTACTAAATATTATATCTAAAAAATGTTATATGAATTAATCGAATTAAATCTTCAATTCAAATTGTATAAGTTTAAAAAATATTACTTTCTCTTTTCTTTTTTTTAATTAAGTACTTCTTTGTATGATTTAATAATTTCTATTAATTGCTAAAACGATGAGTGATAATAATTATATATATTCCCCATTTCCCAATTTTAAGCTTTTATAATTATGAGGAAGTTACATTGAAACAAATAATTTTCTTTTGATTATAATCATTAATTTACCGTTACAGAAAATTAACCCTTTTACTTGAATGAAAATCAGTTGTTATTAACCTAGCCTTATTATTGGCCTTTAAAGACTGATATTTGTCAACTTAATTCTCTTTTTTTTTTCATTCATTTAAAAGTTAAAACCTTTTTTTTTAATATTTATAAAAACCCTTTACGATTTAAGTCATAGATATACACACTAAATCCTATTTCAACTTCTAATATCTTTACCTTGCACATATATATATATATAGCTGAATTAGGTTAAGTAATTATTCATGTAATATATAACCTACCTAAAGTAATATTATGATGAAGCTTAGTTAATCGAAACTTAAATTAAAATTGAATCGAAAATTTATTTTAATTAATTATATAATATTTTAAAAAATAATATTTAATATATATGATATTCGAATTTTAATACTTATAATTCTTCTTTCTGTCTCAAAATGTGATCAATATCTTTTATAAAAAAATATATTAAGGATCAATAACATCTCCTCCATGGATTAATATATAATCCGTTCAAGTATAGGAAATGGATTTATATACACTTATAATTACTTTTTTTTTTTTTTTGCTTTTGTAAAAGGAAATCAAATTAACATCCTATCACTGACACATGCATGGTAAAATCTACAATTTTTCTTTTATCAAAATGTGAAAAGATTGAATCCATCATTAACCTCTCTTTATCTCTCTCAATAATAACAAGTGAATCTGACAAGCATACACGGCAAGTAATAAATAAGCAAGGCCATTGATTCATGCATGGCCAGTTTCATATCCATGACGGCGCACGACCTTCTACAAATAAAAATCCCACTCAATAATTACTACATTCTTGATTTAATCACTTCACTTCTCAATATATAAAACATTACTGCCTCTTCACCTTTCCAAAACCAAAACTCCTTTTATTAATTAATTTCTTCTTATCGTCAAACACTCAGAATCAGATTAATTCTCAATTACAACAATTTCTCTCTGACTTTCTCTCATCAATCTCAAAAAAGAAATGGGAAGTTGGTCCAAGCCTGAAGCTCATGTGGCCAAAGAAGAAGAATCCTCTCCTTTCCCACCGCAATATCCTCTCGATTCAAGGTGGCAAGCATTACAGTTACATCCATTTGCATTCTTGTTTTTCAACCTAATTTCATGGCTTCTTTTCTTATGAATTCTGCTTGAAATTGTTTTTCAGTGCGAGTGCGTATTGTAATTCGGTGGATTGGCAAAACCATGAGTTTCCCATTCAAGACAGCTTTTACGATGCTGTTCCTTTGATGAGCAATTTCTATACGGATCCTTTATATGTTTCGTTGGACACTGAACAAAGTACAATTCTAACTCAAGGTGATTCTTCCTTATATATGGAAAATTTTTCATAGTTTTAGTAATAAGCATCTTCTCAGAGTATTATTAGAAGATCAATCATCTTAATTATTATTGCTGCAGAGAACAATCTACTAGGTTATGAAAATAGCAATGGGTTTTGGAATGAACTGGGTGCCTTGTTCGAGCCCTGCAACGACAACAAAATGCGTTCGCAAGGTAACAATATTGTTGAAGACATGAGAGGAGAAGAACTGAAGGAAGAAAGGATTAATTCTGCTAAAAGATGCAGGGAAGCGAAATGCAACAGTACTACCAAAATGCTGTCTAGGAAAGTTATATCCCAGTACTTTTACATGCCTATAACTCAAGCGGCAAAAGAGCTTAACATTGGGTTGACACTGTTGAAGAAAAGGTGTAGGGAACTTGGAATCCGTAGGTGGCCTCACCGCAAGCTTATGAGCCTCCAAACTCTTATCAAGAATGTTCAGGTACATTAATTTCATTCTTGGGTTTGATCCTCTTTTGCTCTCTCTCTCTCTCTCTCTCTCTCTCTCACTTTCCATTTTTGTCTAATGGATTAATGTTGGGCTTGGGGTGTTTAATGCATGCAGGAGTTGCAGAAGGAGGAAGGTGAGGAAAGTGAAGGGAAACTGAGGGAAGCAGTAGAGGTTTTAGAAAGGGAGAGGAAGATGTTGGAAGAGATGCCGGACTTGCAATTGGAAGACAAAACCAAAAGACTTAGACAAGCCTGTTTCAAGGCAAATTACAAGAAGCGAAAGCTGATGATAGAGTCCCAATCGTCTTCTGGTTGTAGCCGACCAAGTTTGGGTTTAACAACAGCATATTATCACATGGAAGAAGAAGAAGAAGAAGAAGTAAAATCTCTTTTGTTTGAATCTTTTACATGAAACAAAATTATGATCTAAGTCTCAGAGAGTGACTTTCATCTCTAACAATACTATTGGTTTTATTTTGTTTTCTTTGTGAACAATTTGCTTGTTACATGTGCACAGGTCCTATGAATATCGATCCTTTTGAATTTTGTCTCCTTTTCTTTTTGCATTTTTTTTCCTTATTTGTTTGCTGATGTTGACAAATCACAGAAAGCTTGAAAATTAGAAGGATTGATGTTGATAAAAGCTCTCTTTCATGATACCTTTGGTTTTGAAAATTTTAAGTCAATTTTTGGTTTACTTAAGGGGAAAAAAGAGTGTAGATTGGAATCAGATTTATCTTTTAATTATATTTTAATAAAATAATACTTAACTCAAAAATCATATATTACATGGTTGTGATTTTATGTTACGAAAAGGATTAAAATATTGTTTTAAAAAATGATTTAATTTTCATCAAAAGAAAAAAAATCTTTCAAGTGATTATTAATTTAACTAATCTTTTAAGTGATTATAAATTTAATTATGGTCAGTATTATCCATGTATGGATTAAAAACCTTTTTTTTTTTTCAAAATTATGATTATTTTATGTTATATATTTTTATCTTTTCAAAATAATTATTTTCATACCAAATTTAAAAAATTAAAATGTTCAATTTAAGAGTGATGACTAAACTTTTAATTTGAGTTAAATTAGAATTAAACGTTTTTAAGTTGTAACAAATAAAGACTTTTTATGATAGAATCATTAGTGTGTATAACACGCATCATTAAAATATATTTGTAAGAATTATGTTCTATTTTTACATGATGTGTAATAATCACATGCCATTTTTTAATTATGTGGCATGACATGTGTTCATATATACGTTTTTTTATAGATAATTATGTGATTAATTAACATAGTTAGGGTTAATTTAAGATAATTAATAATAATTTAGTTTATAGTAAAAAAATTAAAAATGACAAAACGCATTTATCTCCTAAAAATTATGGGATTTTTTTCCTTTTATTTTGAATTTGGATTTGATTTTTTTTTCCATTTTGAATATTTTATTTTGAATTTAGGTTTGAATTTTTGTTTTTTTGAATCTGGGTTGGAATTAATTTTTATTTTCTTTCTTTAAAATCAATTTTTTATTTTTAAAATAAGAGAAAATGTCTAGAGAGAGAATATACTTCCCTCGTCATTTGTCACCGTTAACTCAATTAACAAGTGTACAGTACGATTGTTGAAAAAAATCTTTATTTGTTACCACCCAAAAATATTTAATTTTGATTCACTCATCACTCTAAAATTTAATCTTAAATTAAACATTTAACCAACTTTAAAATAAATTATGTGTTTTTTTACTTTATGTATATAACATAATTTTTTGTTTTTCTTTTATTATAATTTTAATAGATTTAATTTTTTAATTTAAAATGTGTTTTTACATATACCAACAATACAAAATCTCTGACAATACAAAAAAGAGGCAGAACTTATGGCCGTTATGTCAATTTCAATTTCTCAATGTCCTTGTTTAAGAGCTTATCAAAACAAAAACAAAAACCAAAGATCTACCTTCAAAATGGCACACATTTCAGCACACTTCGACAGATACAAATACCTCACCTCCCTTAAGCTCTGCATCTCTTCTTTCACAACCATCGCAATTCATCAAAATTTTACTCCCAAAACCTTCCAAGAAACATGTCCAAACAACAATCAACAACCGAAACCAATACCAAATCCAAAGCCTTCCTTAAAAAGCTCTATTTCCAAAAGTCAAGAACAACAAAACCTAATTTCCCTCATAAAATCGAGTACTCAGAAACCCCATTTACTCCAAATCCACGCTCACCTTATCCGTACATCCCTTCTTCAAAACCCCATTTTTTCCCTTCAGTTTCTATCCTGCCTTTGTTTCTCCGCCTTCCGTGATCTCCGCTATTCCCGAAATTTTTTCTATCAGATCAAAAACCCATCTGCCTCTCACTATAACACACTCATCAGAGCTTACACTTCCAGCAATGCACCTAAAGAAGCCTTTTTTCTATACAAGGAAATGAGACAAAAAGGCCTAAAGCCTGACCCCATATCATTTTCTTTTGTCATTAAATCTTGTATGAAGTTTCGTTTGCTTTTTTGTGGTTTACAGGTTCACGGAAGGATTTTAAGAGATGGGTTTCAATCAGATTGTCTTTTACTTACTACTTTGATGGATTTTTATTCGAGTTTCTCGAGCCGGGAGGAGGCTTGTAAAGTGTTTGATGAAATGACTCAAAAAGACACCGTCGCCTGGAATGTATTGATTTCTTGTTATTTACGTAATGGAAGGACTAGGGATGTGCTAATGTTGTTTGATACCATGAAAAATGAGGGTGTTTGTGAACCTGATGATGTTACTTGTCTCCTCGTGGTACAAGCTTGTGCTAATTTGGGGGCGTTGGAGTTTGGCGAAAAGGTTCATCATTATATTGAAGAATGCGGTTATGGTAGTGCTCTTAATCTGTCTCACTCGCTTATAGCAATGTATTCTCGGTGTGGATGTTTGGATAAGGCTTATGATGTTTTTAAGGGAATACGAGAGAAGAATGTCGTTTCATGGAGTGCTATGATATCTGGTTTGGCAATGAATGGATATGGGAGAGATGCAATTCTAGCTTTTGAAGAGATGCAAAGAATGGGGATTGCCCCAGATGAGCAGACATTTACGGGAGTTCTTTCTGCTTGTAGTCATTGTGGTTTAGTAGATGAAGGGATGGAGTTTCTTGATCGAATGAGCAAAGATTTTGGAATAGCGCCTAATATTCATCATTATGGGTGTGTGGTTGATCTTTTAGGTCGTGCTGGTTTGCTTGATCAAGCCTATCACATTATAATATCAATGGGGGTTAAGCCAGATGCTACAACATGGAGGACCTTGCTTGGGGCTTGCAGAATTCACGGCCATTTTTCCCTTGGAGAACGTGTAATTGAACACTTGATTGAACTTAAGGCTCAAGAAGCAGGAGATTATGTTTTGTTGTTGAATATTTATTCATCAACTGGTAACTGGGAGAAGGTGACAGAATTGAGGAAGTTGATGAAGGAGAAAGGCATCCAAACAACACCTGGCTGTAGTACAATTGAGTTGAAAGGAGTGGTACATGAATTCATTGTGGATGACATTTCACATCCACGAAAATATGAGATCTATGATAAGCTAGGTGAGATTAATAAGCAGTTGAAGATTGCTGGATATGTTGCCGAAATAACATCTGAATTACATGATTTAGGTGTAGAAGATAAGGCTCATGCACTCTCTTATCACAGCGAGAAGCTGGCTCTTGCTTTTGGAGTTCTCGCAACTCCCCCTGGCAAAACTATAAGAGTAACCAAGAATCTTCGTATTTGCGTTGATTGTCACAATTTTGCAAAGTTTCTTTCTGGGGTCTACAACAGGGAGGTAATAATCCGAGATAGAACCAGATTTCATCATTTCAGAAATGGACGCTGCTCTTGTAATAACTATTGGTAGGAAGTTTCCAAGGTTGGACAAAAAGAATGCTCAAATCACACTATAAAATGGGGAAGCTAACTGTAGGATTTGTTGGCAGATTGCCAGAGCTGACCTGAGTGTTGGCCTTCTTCCATTCTCTAAGTAATTGCAGGATCCTACTCAATTGACTTAAGAACAGGCACATCAGTTACTGATTCGTTGAGTAGCATGTTTTCTCTCTATTTGCCTCTGTTATCTATTTGATCTGTTGATCAACATTGCAGAAACTAAACAGGACATCCCTTCCTTGGATCTAGTTCATTCTGTATTCACTGCAAAGAAATCATCATAAACCCTGAATCTATTCACAAAACCAATGGCTGTGCCGCGTAGGTTACAAATAAAAGACAAGCCTTACCTTCTGGATTGTGTAAAAGAATTAGCCCTGCACCTCGGTTATGAAACCTCAGTAAAGATTGTTGTCTTCAAAAGAAATTGTGGAAGCTTAATACTTAATCAGGATTGAAAGAGAAAGCCAGATGAAAACATGCTTTGCAAAGGAAGATTGCTTTTTATCTGATTATACTGTATTTGATTGTTTGTTGCACCTTAAAGCCGTGCTATTTGAAGTTTCAGAGGAAAATGATGGCTGTCATGGAGATCTCTTTGGTTGATTGTACTGGGACAAAGTCGTTGACGGTTCTGCACTCTTCGCAACCCATGGCCAAAACTTAAGAGTGAATCAGAAGGGAACAAGTAGCCTTTGTATATCTTTAACAAAACATTTTGATCGGCACAAAGTATTTATTGATTGGTTTGATTATAACTAAAGCAGTGTCTGTAAACACATTGCTGCTATGTTAGTACAAAACACAGATTTCTTGAGGTAGCATTTAACAATAAACCGTTTGTTTCTCATTCTAGTGAATGAAAATATTTATAAGTTGTTTTGTTAGTTGTGTGAATCTAATCCTGGCTTTTGCGGTTTTTCATCTCAATTTGATAGCAAAGACAACTTATGGTATTGCTCAGCAAGTCAAAAGTTCTGTAATGGCGGATGTTACTTTAGTTCGTGGAGAAATTTATCATATGCTTCCCCTGTGGGATATAACAAAGTCGGATATGCATACTAAGGGAAATTCAAAATGCATGTCCATCTTGATATTGGGTTTTAATTATTAAATTTATTTTGCGCAACAGAAAGAGAAAACATTAATATGGGTTTGAGGGAAGCATCTGACTGGATTATAATGCTTCATTATGAAGGCAGGCTAATTGAAAAACTGATGGTACAAAATTACAAAAATATGTTTGCTTCAATTAAATCCATTCATTGGCATCATAGTCATAAAAGACTGAACATATATAATGAACATTCTCTGAGAAATCACCTATATCCTATATATAATGCAAAAATGGTAACCAATAATCTTCTGCAGCAGCAAAAATCTTATCATATAGTATATAGGTTTAAGAGACCTGGGAACCTGCCAATGTTTCTATCAGAAAAATTAAAAGAAAGTTGAATCAAAGGACACATTTGACATGGTGATGAAAGATATATAGTGCATCAGCCATGTTATTCCAAAACTGTAAAAGTACTACAGGCTCTGCTCGAGAATTGATTACATTCTTCTCATCGACAATACCAAAATACCCTTTTTAAGTTTCATACTCCTGATCATCATATTGGAAAAATAAACTAAAACCCTTGCATTCTACAAAACTGAAAGTACTGATGCAGGGAAAAATCGACAACGAAATTAATAAACTTACTTATCTCTCTCGTAGGCTTAGTTTCAACAAGGTATGAGCTTCAAAAACTTGAGTTTTAAGCAGTAACTGGTTGCTTCTGCACAAATGCAATTCCCTTCTCAATGCTGGCTTTCAATTCTGGCTTAAGAGCTTCCAAAGCCTTTTCTTCATACTCTGATAACCCTTGAAGATCAGATGGAATCAAAGCTTCAATCCCTTTCCTTCCAAGCTTGATCCTAGATGCAAAGAATGGAAGATCAGTCAGATCTGACTGCACAAAAGAGCACTCATAGACGTCCCCATCTCCATCCAGAGCACGAAGGGATGATTCGACAAATCTTGCTGCTGCATAGGCCATTGACAGGGTGGCAGACCCTGCACCTGCCTTTGCCTCCACAACCTCTGTCCCCGCATTTTGAATCCTGACAGTTAATTGCTCCACTTCTTCATCAGTAAAGCTAACAGACGCTTTTGTCTTTGACAGCAAGGGTAAAATGGTGATACCAGCATGTCCCCCTACAACAGGAACATCCACATCAATGAGCTTAAGGTTTTTCTTCTGAGCAACGAATGTGTTAGCTCTCACAACATCCAATGTGGTAACACCAAAAAGCTTCTTTGGATCATAAACACCCTTCTGCTTCAGAACTTCAGCAGCAATTGGTACTGTGGAGTTAACTGGGTTGCTAATAATATGAATGAAGGCATCAGGACAGTTATCAGCGACAGCCTCAACCAAGGTCTTAACAATGTTGGCATTGATGTTGAAGAGGTCATCACGAGTCATACCAGGCTTTCTTGGAACTCCAGCAGGAATAACCACTACATTCACACCTTTCAAACAATTTCCTAATTCAGAAGCACCAGTGAAATCCTGAACTTGAGAAGGAGTATTGCAGTGACCGAGGTCAGCAGCAACTCCCTTGACATTTGCTATATCATACAGCTTCAAGGCCGAAACTAGTGGGGACATCTTGATTAGAAGGGCCAATGGCTGACCAATCCCTCCAGCAGCTCCAAGTATTGCCACTTTGTAAGATGCCAGAGGCTGTAGGCCATAGTGAGACCTCTGGTTTGCTTTCTCTGCTTTTGGTACAAAAGAGCCTCTAAGAGCTGCACTGCTTTCCTTGCCAAGGAAGGAGGATTCTGATTCACACTTCACAGATGTTGCTGCCTTGAGGCCACTAAAACTTGCGAGTGAATTCTGGTAGGTGAACCTTACAGCAAAAGGTTTTGTTTTTGGAAGCAAGCTCCCCCTGCTTCCAAAGGAGACAGTTGATCCAATTGAGAAGGTGGTTGCTGATGTTGTTGCCATCTCACACTCTAAAACATGAAAAAGTGTCAAGGCCTAGGCCTACTGGTATAAAACCAGATATCAAGTCATATAATCAACAAGCAGGATGACTCACATCCAAAATGCATGTTCTCATTTTCAACAGTAAAAAGAAGCAGATGTTACTGACAAACAAATATATGCCAAAGAAATAATCCTGAAATGCATATATAAGACATGCCTCCCTTCTAAAATATAAAAAACAAAGAAGTAAGCATCTACTTCTATCCCAATAATCATGAATGAGCATTTAAGGAGAACTAAAAGCGAAAGGACTGATAGAGAGCTATTATGCCTTTAAAGCAAAGGCTTGAAACAATAGCAGGGACCTTCCATGCAACCAAAGGTATCAATTCTAATTTACTTTTATTTCAAAGCAAAATAAACCATCCTCATCTTATGAAAAATTCCTGTCACTAGAGAAAATTAGATCCCAGACAACTTGTAGAAAAATACTGAGATCCCATTGCTTTAGCAGCACATGTCTAGTTGACAACAAATCTATACAAAAAGACAAATCAGGCTTCTTTACTATAAAAAATTTGGATGCCATTTCCCATTAACTTGGTCTGAGCTACCATATTCTTTCTATTAATCATATTGCTAACATTAGTTTTCACAAACTTGAAATAAACAAAAATGTGAATGGGATCAAACATCCCCTATTCATAATCCACAAATCTTGAATGTTGAATCCAGGGATTTCAATATTGAGGACCATCTTTCCCCTTTTACAAATCATCGAAATAATACCCGGGTTTATATCAACTGTTTCCTCGGTCAAAAAATGAGTTCTTCTTTGCTCCCAAACATTTTACTAAGGCAATTGATGAAAAACCAAGAAACACTTTCCCCAACAACATAGAGCATACTTTTCAAGAGATACCCTGAAGACATACATTTCTATAAAAAATATAACAAGAAACTAATCAGACAAGAACAAAGAAGAGAAACAATAAATCCCAAGTTTCACAAGTTCCAAGCTGAAAATGAAAGAAATGTCAATCAAATAAAGAAACCGATAGCACAGATCTAATCAATATTGCATCTTAGTACTTTATCCAGAAAAGATTACAAGAAAAATGAACATCTTAAAAGAAGGAAACAATACAATAACAATCAGAAACAAGCAAAGAAACCAAACGCAGATCATAATTTAGATAAATAAACAAAGCCCATAGCCTAGATTCAAGAATTATAACTCCAAATGCAGATCAAAAGCTGAAAAAAGAAAAAAGGAAACTAACCTTTGAGATCCGACAAGAGAGTGAGCAAGCCTAAGGGAAGCAATGTGATATGTAAGAAAAATAACACCCTCCGCTTTTGGTATTTATAGGAAACTCCGCCAATGAACTTTGAACAAATCACCAAAAATTTCGACTTCACCTACTCTTTTTGTTGCAATGTTTTCTGTTTCCCTTTTTTTTTTTTTTTCTTTTTTCTTTCTGTGCACAGAATACACCGTCGCTCTCTGGAAAGAATCTACCGCAGTTGTTTTCGCTTTTTTTTTTTTTTGTCACGTTTTGTTGACAAGAATAAATCGTGGCCGATGGTTGGATTGATGCTTTCTACGGCTAGGATTAAAGTTTGCCCCACTTTTGCTGGCCTTTTTAGGCCTTTGCGGACCCTTTTTAAGTGCTCTTTTGTTTGGTAGTTTTTTCTGATCATTTACTTATTATATATCATTAAATCGATTTTTTTTATTTAAAATGTTAGATTTAAATTTTAATAATTAAAATTAAGAGCAATAATTTATCAATAAATTATGTAATTATTTATAAAAAATAGATTTTATTTGGTGCATTTAGACAATCATTTTTAATTAGAATTCATGTAATTTAATACCTTAACCAATATAAAATCTCATAGGAACGTACAATCCTTGAAAAAAAAAAAAAAATAATAATAATAATAGGTTTTAAATCACATATCTTATTTGGACATTCTATTTAATAGTCCATGAATTTGAAACCTTTGTAGTTCACAAAAGAAAATAAATCTTTTTCATTGTAAATCTTAATCCAATCACTTCCAATTTTCAATTCAAAACTTTTGAATCACCAAAAGTAAAAATGTTAAATATCTACAATTTTTGTGCCTTTAACAATCTACTCTTCAACAATGATAACCAACAACCAAATGAAAAAATATAAATAAAACTAGTGCTGTGTATGTAGTATGCATAAATTCATTTGATTTAGAACTAGAGATATTTTGAAGTGTATTTGACTACTTTGGCTAAAGTAGCAGCATAACTGATGCCAAATTTTTTAATTTTTATTGTGGCACATACATTTTCACTTAATCTCTGGCAGTATTGTTTAATTTTGCTAGTCTCTTGCCTCGTTTCTAAGGCCAGGAGTTTTGAGTATCAGAATGGTATATAGGTATATTCCTTCAACTACTAACATAAACAAAAGTTTACAAGGAAACAGGCTGAGTTAAGGTCAACTATTGGTACTTTCTTTCAATTATTACTAACATAAACATGAATGCTCAGCTCATCCCTTGTCTAAGTCATCTAACGGATGACATTTCCATGCATGCTTGACACCATGATTTACCAGAAACAATTGATTTGGTTCATCTTCATCTATTTGTTTATGTTATTGTCACACTTTCAACTCGCTTTCGAAAAGAAACTTAAGATGATGCATTATCAGTTGCTTTAAATTTATTTATTTGGGTATTCCAATACTAACAATTTGAATATTTATATTTATTTAATTCGTATTCAATATTTTTAAAATATAAAAATTATTATATCATAATTCGTGTAAATAAGTTAAATATAAATTTTTTTTTATTTTTATCAAATTCATATATAATTTTTATTAAAATTTTAAATCATATTACTTTTGTTTTTTATTTTTTTAATCTTATCCTACTGTGTTGTGTTTTGTTAAGACTGCAAGGTGTAATCATCATCACTTGAACACCATTATGATCTATGGACTTAAATTAAAATGCAACTTGATCTTCTAAATGCAAAGATAATCTCCCTCTCTCACAAGCAAATGGTGAGAAGGAAATGAACGTCATTTTAATTAACAAGGTTTCTCTTAACAGAAATGGAATACCAGTTATCGGAAACCAGTGATAATTATCTCATACGTTTAGCTTTTCCATTTCCTTCCTAAGTGCATTGGCCCTCACCAAGCTCCCGATGGTACTCACAGCCAACTTGAGATCCTCCAATGGATTTCCGGGTGCCACTGTCTTGTACAAGTAACTGTCGAATGTCATCTTCTGCACATACTCGTCGGCGCACATCTCCACGAAGGCTTCCCTTGCTGGATTTGATCTGTAGAAGACCTTCTGCAAGACATCCAGTACCTTGTAAGTTGGCCAGTATCTCTTGTCCCACTTCTCCAAGTACTTCCTCAAGTCCCCTTCATCCACCATCTTCTTCCCATGCTGTGAACCCTCAACAATGGCCTCAGCACACATTCTCCCACTCTTGGCTGCAAAGTAAATACCCTCACCCGAGCATTTCGTCACATATCCAGCTGCATCCCCAACTAAGGCTACTCTCCCAGATAACCTGCGTGGACGAGGATGCTCAGGAATTGGGTGTGCCTCCACTCGTATGATCTTACCTCCAAGGATCTTGTCCTTTGCTCTGTTTCTAGTGGCTAGCTGGAACTTCTTGATGTCACTCTTGTGAGTCACCGTGCCAGTTCCAACTGCAACATGATCACATTTGGGGAAGACCCAACCATAGAAATCTGGTGAGACATCATCGCCTACATACATTTCAGCAAGATTCTCGTAGTACACCATTTTGTCATCAGGGATTTTGATTCTCTCCTGCAATCACAATGAGATTTCATGAATTATTCAAAGTTGGAGTAATTGAACATTCAGATGCATGATAGAACAGAAATCATCCTGCAATGAGCCCAGACAAATTCCTAATGGCAAGAACACATTCCAATGGTAAGGAGAAGACCTTGGTACTGTTAGATTTCAGGTTCAAACCCCCCCCCCTTCCATGAATTTTATTTCATCATACGCATGTTAGTCAATTCAGATATTTTTCAATTTCCTAATTCGTACTATATGTGAAAGGATGTTTGATTATGATACTAATTTCTACTCGTTCATCCATGGATCCTCCGCAAAATAAACACTTCAACAACAAATAACTCAAAAAAGGGAAAAAATTGTAAAAAAAAAAAAAATTGAAAGCTATGTCTCACAAATATTTATACATACCTGAAATGCAATAGCATAATCATAATCGCCAGCATTAATGGCTTTAGCAACACGAGAATTGGCCCCATCAGCTCCAATCACAGCATCAACTTCCAAAGTATCTTTCTCTCCCATAGCTCCCTTCTTCCCATCATACTCGGTGTAATGCAAAACATAAGGCTCATCCCAACGCTTAGGCATATCCATCTTCAAGAACAACCCATTTATAACATTAGCTCCATTGTCCTTGGCTCTGTCTCTCAGGAATGCATCGAACACTTCCCTTCTCACCATCCCAATATACTCATGCGGCTTCAGGGTTTGACCAATGTCGACAGCTATGTTGGATGGCGAAATCATCTTCATTTTGGTGACTCGCCGGTCGATGATATCCAATGGCAGGTCAAATTCATCCACCATGCAAAGTGGGATGGCTCCACCGCAAGGTTTGCAGTTGTCGAGTTTGCGTTCGATTAGGAACGTTTCGATGCCACCCTTTGCAAGAGTTTCAGCGGCTGAGCCTCCAGCCGGACCACCGCCTATGACGGCTACCCGGAGGTTGCGGTTGCTTAGATTTGGAGAGGTTTTGGCCGCTGACACATGGAATTTGATGACAGGTTTCGAGAGGGCGGTGGCGGTGGTGGGGCTGGGCACGGCGGAGCTACGACTGAGGCCGGTGAAGGGTTTGAAAACAATGGAGCTCATGTTTTGAGAGTGTCAGCAATTGAGAACTAAGGAACTGTAGTTTGGAGTGTTTTTGTTTTTGTAATAGAAGGGTGGATATGGTTGGGGATACGAGCAGACGTTGACCGTTGGATATGGAGAATGGACGGTGCGGATTGGGTTGTGATAATATTGGGACAGATTTGATTTTTGTCTTAACTAGGAGAATGGATGATTTTGATGGCTCGTGATGTGCCACGTCATGTGCTTTTGTCTGAAAGAACTTGAGGTTCTCACTTTGTCATGTGACTGTGAGGGAACAAATTTGGTTTTTGGAACCAATTTATTAATATATTCAAGTTTTCTTCAAAAACCAAAAATAAATAAATAAAGTAAAATATCTTGAATAAAATTAAAAACGTGTGGTTAGGTCAAGACTTAATGCCAGTCATGAGCTTATTTTTTAAGCGTGGCCTCGGCGTGAAAGAAATTGAAATATATTCTCGTTTTTTGCTGAGAATCGTTAGTGCCTTCAAATTTTCTTACAAAACTAGAAACACCAATAAAACTTGAAGGAAAATATTTTCTATTGTTCATAATTTAATAATTATTTTTTAAAATTCTATTCGATCATTAAATTTTTTATTTTTATTCTTATTTATCTGAAAAATATTATAAACATATATTTTTTTAAATTCATAATTTTTAAGTGTCAATAATTTAATAATTAGACATTTACTTATATTAATATAATTTTTATATTTTCAAAATTTTTATATTAAAATTATTAAATTTAAAAATATTATTTTAAATAAAAAAATAGTCTAAAAATAAAAATATAAAAATTGTATTAATATAAATAAGTTTCTCTTTTATTTTAACTACATAATTTTTTAAAATAAAGTTGGGTTAGAAAAAAATGATTTGGGTTAGGACAAATGTAAAATTAAAAGTGTTCATAATTTGATTTTAATCGAATTAATTAATCAACTCAACTTAATTCGATTAATCGATTAATCATTAAATTAATTTTAATCGATCAATAAAAATAATTTTAGAAGAATTTTAATTTTTAATTAATTCATTTTGAAAATCAAATTAATTAAATTAACTGAAATATAACATAATTTAAATATAAAATAAAAAAGTATGAAATCAATCACTTAATTTTATAATTTGTTAAAATTTGTAACGTAATATTTTAGTAATTAAATATTTTATTAAATGATTTTATTTAATTTATATAAAATGTATAAATTTTAAATTTTAAATTTTAATTTAATTTAAATATATTTATTATTTAATTAATTTAAAAAATTAATCGAATCAATCGAATTAAATTAAATAGATTAATTTTTTTAAATTATAAATTTAATTTAATTAATAAAAATAATTTAATTTAATTGTATTAATTTAATTTTAAATAATTTGATTTAAAAGTAATCGAACGGATGAGAAAATCTACGAATCAATAAGTGCGTCAGTTTAAGTACATTTATGTCCTATCAAATTTTCATAAATGTCTTCTGAATTAAAAATCTCTAAGTTCGGTGGCTGACACTTAAATCGGGCTGGTTGCTGCCCTTCAAATTCAAGGCTGCTGTCCCACACCAAGTATGCTTTAACTTTAGCCTTGAATGTAGATGTAGTAGCATGACTTTAATGAGTTTGGGATCACTTAAAAAGAATAGATATATGTTAATTTATTATAATTATAGGCTGCTTAAAGTTGCTAACAGTCTAGCGGTTTTTTTTTTTTTTTTGTTGGAGTGCTTCAGCTTTTAGCTCTAAAGATTATAATTTAATTTTTGATATATTCAATTATTAAAATAAACTAATAAAATTAATATAAAATCAGATGTGTTTATGGGTTAAATTTGATGCAGTGAAGTCAAGATTTCAAGTTGGGGAGACTCAAATAAAAATAAATTATATATTATAAAAATTTTATTTAATGTATATTTTATATTTTAAATGTTATTATTTTATAGAAATCAAAAGTGAAATATATATATATATATAAACATAGGTAATATATACAAAAAGTTTAAGTGTAAAATAAAAAATAATTATTAAAAAAAGGAAAAAGTCAAATATCTTTATTCAAAATTGTGTGTGATATTCTTTCATTAATATAAAATTAATCAAACACTTAATTTAAGTTAAAAAAAATTTAGTAATTTCTTCATTAATATAACAAAATTATTCGGAAAAACTTATCCAAAATAACTATATAAAAAAATTAAACTATATTAGCTAATTATTTCTTTGAAGTTTTAAATAATATCTTATATATAAATATTTATTTAGGGCATAGAACAATAAATATATGAAGTTAAGACAAAATGTTTCTATAACAATCAAACAAGTTCTAAATTAATTTCTGATGCACAAAGTTTAAATCAATAATATATATATAATTTCAAATGATAAACTTATATAATGAAAAAAAATTAAAAACTTAATATTTAATATATCATGTTTATAAATTTAATTTTATATAATATATAAATAATACATCCCATGGACTAGAGTTGTCTAAGGGTGAACCCACCAATCTTGAACCGGCAAACCCAACCCGTTTTTGAGCGGGCTTGGATTCCTATTTTATTCCGTTGGGTTTACTTGGACTTTATCCTAACGGTTATTTTACAATGTTAATGTAGTTATTAACTATTATTAGTTAATTTCTTTTGTTATATGAATATATGATAAATGATGTTTCCAGTTTTGCCTAAATCTAACACCGCTGGACTTCATCCAAATGATTATTTGTTATCCAAATAATTAATGAAATGATAAAGCATAAAATTAAGGGGAATAAAAAAAAAAAAGCTGGAGAAATAAGAAATCATTTCCTTTGTTTGGTTTATCATTTATATTTTAATAAAAGAAAGAAAAGGAAATTAAATATCCCTTTCTTTCCCTCAAAAGCTAGAAAGAAAAGAAAGGATTAAAAATTTTTAAATATAAAATGACTTTTATTTTTTTATTATATTTTATCATTCTTCAAAGAATGTTATTATGATATTCAAATTTAAACATTGATACTTACCATTGATTCTGCCTTTAAAATTTTTACAACTCCTTCTTCAACTATTTTTTTTGTTAATAACTTCAAATTCTATACATTTTTAATTTATGAGTACGTTTTAATTTTTTTTCATTTTGTTATTACTTCATAAATTCTAAATAATAAAAATAAAAAAATGACAAAATGCATACAATGATAGAAAAATGCTAATATTTAAACAAATTTATAATTAGTTTTATCTGAATAATAAATATTTAAACTTTTAATTTTCTCATTTATAGATTAATTTTGAAAAAAAATTGTAGTATAAAAATAATTCCAAACATACATTTTTATCGATTAATTATTAATAATATTCTCTTTAATTAATTAAAATTATTTTTATTAATTTTTAAATTATTTAAAATAATAAATATCAAAATTATTCACATGATATAAAAAATATTTTATTTTAAAAGGTATAATGAAAGTAATATAATATAATATCTCATTTCTTTTTCTTTTCACAACTTAAACAAAAATTGTAATCAATCAATTCCTTTTCTTTGCTTTACTCATTTTAGTCATCCAAATAAGAGAATAAACTATCATTTTCTTTCCTTTAAAAACTTTTATTTTTCTTTTTTTTCATTCCTTTCTTTTTTTTTTTACAAACTTTAATTTCAAACATAAGCTAAAATTCAGTGGTCTATTTCAGAATTTGAGAAAAATAAACCCTACCTCTCAGGAGGTTTATATGCCTACAATCCATTTGGGAGTCTGATTGTAGGATCTAATCATAAAATGCACTTTTTAGTGCGATGGAAGTCATCTAATTGAGCTTTCAAACGAAACCTTAAACCATTTGTGCTTTTAACTTGTTACTAACAGCAAGATACGAAGAGCGGAGATTTGGTGACTAAATCTTTTGCGTCTAAGAAAGCAAAAGCTAAACTTCAAAGAAAAAACCGATTTTAAGGATATCAAAGGGCCATTTGTTGAAAACATATAGGTTTTTGTATTGAATCTTAAACATTAAACATATTTATGAGTTTCGGGACTCCTTTTTCTTTCCTGTTGAATTGATTTTCCAAATAACTTAACAATATTGTTGCCCTACAAATATTTATTGTGGACAAGATTGTTACCCAACATTTGGAAGAGAAGTCTCCAATTCTCCCATGCAAGAAATTGCATATGTTAGGTAAACTCACCTTAACCCTTCTGCAAAAGAAAAAGAAAAGAAAAAAAAAATCCACCCACTTACCTCCTCCTCAATATATCTGAGAAACACATTCCTCAGCTCCTCCTCCCAATTTCTGTTATAAATAATTCATAATAACAAAAGTCGTACTCGCTCTTTTTTGCAAGAAAAATGTTGCACCAAGCCACTGTCTCCAGTGTTTTCTGTTCTTGTTCAAAATATTTGATCGGACACGATAAAGGGTAGTTATAGTTAGGTGTGAAACCCGCCAATAAAGTTGGTTCATCAGACAATGAAACCATTCCCTCCAATTAAACATTCTAAGTTTTCTTGCTGCTTCCAGCTTTCCCAGGTTTGTAGGTTCCTTTTGAAAGGGAAATTCCGTGGGTTTAAAACCCAAACTTTATAGTGCCAATTGTCCAAACATAACTTTTTCTAAAGGTCCTGGAAGACACTGCATCTACACGCCCCTGTCTGTCAAAAATGAAGTTTAATGTGGTATTAACTTTACTACTTGTGAGTATTGTGGGAATTGCCATTCAGGGTTGTCATGGCAAGGTTGTGCAGTTTATTTTCGGGGATTCCTTGTCTGATGTTGGTAACAACAAGTACCTTTCTAGGAGCCTGGCTCAGGCCAGCTTGCCTTATTATGGTATTGATTTTGGCAATGGTCTGCCTAATGGAAGGTTCACCAATGGCCGAACTGTTGCTGATATAATAGGTCTTTGATTAACTACTAGTAGTTAAATTCAAAAGTTTAAGCTCATAAAATATAAATGGTAGTAGTGGTTTTTCTTTGAGAATTCTGACCACTTTGATATTACTTCTGTTGTTCTATATCAGGTGACAACACTGGTCTCCCAAGGCCACCAGCTTTCTTGGATCCATCTGTGACAGAGGATGTGATATTGGAAAATGGGGTAAATTATGCCTCTGGAGGAGGTGGAATTTTGAATGAAACAGGAGGTTATTTTGTAAGTTGCATAACCTTAAAGATTATTGCATTTGTTCCCAGAAAAAATGGATGCCTCACCAGCTCTTAAACGATATTTAAAACCTGTTGCAGATTCAGAGGCTCTCTCTTTGGAAGCAAATTGAGCTGTTTCAGGGGACAACTGAAATGATTAAGAACAAAATTGGCAAACGAGCAGCGAAGAAGTTCTTTAATGACGCCCCCTTTGTGGTTGCTTTAGGGAGTAATGACTTCATTAACAATTACTTAATGCCAGCTTATACTGACTCATGGACGTACAATGATCAAACTTTTATTGAATACTTAATGGAAACACTTCAAAAACAACTCTTGGTAAGCTGATTATGATCAGGGATTGCTTTCTTACTTTTATCTACAACTGCAATGCTAATTCAATCTGTGCATGTGTGTTTTTTAAAGGTATTACATAACTTAGGAGCACGGAAGTTAATGGTGTTTGGTCTAGGACCAATGGGTTGCATACCTCTGCAAAGGGTCCTAAGTACATCTGGACAGTGCCAGGAAAGAGCAAACAAGCTGGCTCTTAGCTTCAATAAAGCTTCAAGCAAGTTATTAGTAGAAATGGACAGTAAACTTCCCGGTGCTAGCTTCAAATTTGGAGATGCTTATGATATTATAGATGATGTGATTCGCAATCCATACAAATATGGTGAGTCCATGTCCCAAAATCTAGCACGTTTGCCTTCATGGCAAAGACAAAGGTTAAGAGGAATAAAAGGAGGAAGACTTGTTAAACAGGCATATTAATTTTTATGATCTTGAATGATTAAAAAGAAAGAAGAAGCTTCATATAGGTCATCAGGGTAATGTAGGTGATATAGTAACATTATCATTCATCTTTTTTTTTCCAGGACTTCATCCGCATATCATGACTGATTCCGGCTTTGATCTTTGCAGGATTTACTAACTCTGACTCGCCATGTTGTTCATTCGGAAATATTCGACCTGCTCTCACATGCATACCAGCATCAACATTGTGTCAAGATAGAAGCAAGTATGTCTTTTGGGATGAGTACCACCCATCAGATAGTGCCAATGAGCTCGTTGCTAATGAGCTTATCAAGAAATTTGGATATCTAGGTGTTGATGCTCCTGCTCCTGCTCCTGCTCCAAAATCTGCCATTGCTCCCTCTCCACATAATGAATAAAATATATCATGCCCTCACTATAAATGTTCGTACGAGAAGCAGTTTTCCTTAACAACTTTGATGAGTGGCATAATGTAATAAGTATTTTAATTGTTTGTTAATTTTCATCTGTTCAGTCTAAATAATCCTTTTTAAAGCGTAACTGGTATTGAGCAATTTCCCTCCCCTAAGTACTTCCCATTGAAATCTCTCTTTCTTCAACTCTTTCTCCCCCTAATCAGAAATTCAGGCCTTTTTTCATTTTATTTTTGCATCGGAATTCTGACATTCATATTCCAGGATCAATTCAGGCCTTCAGGCTATAAAATGTCAAAAATGTCATTAGCTATTATTCTCACAATTGAATTGCCTTCCTACTCGCTCTCACAACAGCTTTCTACCCAACAGGTTCCTTATTTTGGAGAAGAAGGTTTTAGTCAAGTCCAGTAATCATGCACAAAAGTATTGCATAGATCCAGGAAATAAAGCCAGACAAGAAACCAACACTTCTCACCCACTGCTTTTAACTTTTGGCTCGGGAAAAAGATGAAAAATGCATCTGATGAGGCAAAAATAAAGCAATAATGTCTCAAAAGCACAAGATGAAAACCATAATGAAATAGAAATATCATATCTTGCTTCTTTTCCGGGCTTTAAGGCTAAACTTACTCTTCAATTTGGTAATAGCCAAACAGATTCAACTTTCCACGGGCCTCCTAATATTTTTAGATGCACAACTTTTTAGTTTTTGCTCTTCGAGTGAAAGTGAGTGGCAATTAACAAAGTTAGGGGAATCATAATGGGGATATCATTTGGTCTAGCATATTGATGTTGTTCAAGTAAGAGTCATTGATGGCCTTGATGCGTATATGATCCCACCTGATCAGTTGGAATACCAATCCCACTCTTCTGGCACGGAACAAATTTGGTTAATTCGCAAGTGATAACTACACAAATAAAAAGTTGCTTTCACATATTCACCTTTTCATATTTTTTTGGATATATCAGTTTACTTGCCACACACGCAATGTCACGGGACCAAGAAAAAAAGTGAAGATCTACAGCTTAGTTCAGTATGGTACTAGAAAGTGTCAAATGGGTTGAGTAAATTATGATATGGGACGATTCGATTCAATGCAATATAAATTATATTTGATACAATTTATTATTATAATTATAAATTGTGTCAAGTAAAATTTATATTTTTATGTTGTATATAAGTAATGTTAGATTAGAGATTTTGGATTCATTGAATTGAATCCATCAAAGTTATGATAACACGTTACACATGAAATGAATTAAAAAGACATAACACTCATAATATGTCGTATTGTGTCAACTCATAAATATTATAAATAAATTTAATTTATTAATTTTTAGTTATATTTCATGTTATTCTTATCATATATTAAATATTTTTTTATTTTTTTGATACTTTATATTAATAGTTTATAAAAATTAAATTGTATCAATAAATCTATTTATAAAATATTTAAACTATTGATAGATAAAATTATAAAATTTTTATTTTTGATTTATCATTTTCTAAAAAAAAATTATGAAATATATATTACTTAAAGATTCATTATAAAAAATTGAGAATAAGACAAAATACATATATATATTTATTATGGAGGAAAATATAAATTACGCATTTTTTTATTGTAGATATCCATTTTTTTATTTAGATATTTAATATTAATATTTTATAATTATATATTTTGATAATTTTTTTAATTTTTACTGATAAATATAGAAATTTTGTTGAACTATATGAATTATATACTTAACGTATTAATTTCATTGGTTAGTTTTTAATGACAGTTGAGAAAACAAATAAAAAAAAAAGTTCTCAAAAAAAGGATAAAAATTTAAGCAATTATTAATGGGCTATGTTTGGCCTGGTATGATATAAAAAATAATATCGGGTTAAAGCATACTTTCAATTTTCATAAACTATGTTAACATGATATGTTAAATAATAATGCTAAATTAATACGATCCATTAACACATAAACTAATTTTTTAGCCGACCATACTGACCCTACAACCCATTTGATATGTCTAGTTGATTCCTATAATCATGCTTAAGAGTAATAGCTATCACTTCCTTTATTCACTTGGAAATTGTTAAAAAAAAAAAACCTTTGGGTTAATCTTATTTGAGCAAATCATACAAAAGATATTCCTGGTATATTGCAGATATTATATATACTAGAGCTTTGCTCCTGTATGGCCTTTTGTTTTCTGCTTATGGGAGTACTTATTTCTTTACTGGAAGCTTTCAAAAGGGTGCTAAGTTTATGTCTTGTGAACTGAACAATAGCTTATGCATTGTTGCATACACGTGTACGGAAGCTTGGCTCTTCGGGATCTGCAGGACAAATTATTATATCCTGCTACCTACACTAAGATAGTGGAAACCACCAGAATTCCACTCCGAAAATCAAAAGATCTCATTCTATGAAGCATGTAATCACATAAGGCTATAACGAGGTTCATGCCATGCAACTATTGTATTAAAAATTGTATGGTGCTTGTTTGGTAGCAGGCAACTAAATGCAGTTCATTACAATGGGTATATCAGTTGAAACGTTTTAGTTTCGTGTAGTGTATATATATAATTGGGATATGTCTCTTGGGCTCTTATAGTATTAAAAATGTCTAATGTGCTATCTGTATTTTTTAATTTTGATTTTTTTTTTAAATCTTAACTCTTTAAAAAAAATCACATTTTTTAAATTTTATTTTTTATTTTTAAAATTTAAATTTTTCAAAATTTTTCATTTTTATTTTTTAAAAATATATGACACATAAAAACATTTTAGTGTAATGTGGTAGTCATGTATAATTCACGTGTGTAATATTTATACACATATCCCATATTTATTAGTTAATGATCATATCATTAATTTCTGTCAACGTTGTTAAGTTACAGGATAGATGGATATACGGATTGAAAATTGAAGTATTTTATTAAATAGGATTTTAGTTCATGCTCCACATTAGACATTTTTAATTAAGTAGAGGACACTAGCTCTATATAATTCTACACTGTCAAAGCTGTCACTTCTAGAGCAGGTTAACATGATATACAATGGCTGATAGCTCGAGGATATCTCCAACAACCAAATAATGATTTACGACACTAGGTTGAATCATCAGAAGGTAAACCTGTGAAAAAAATACTGATGCTGTTTGGAGATTAGCAGCATTAAAGCAGTATTTACTCCTTTGATGTTAATGAGCTTTATATTCATCAAATATAATTGAACTAAGCAATGCATAAGTATTGCATTTTTTTTTTACTAAAAAATGCTTGTCCTGCTGGTTGATTTGTTCTGAAATTCCATACCGGCTAATGCAAATTAATCAAATCACCTCTGTTAAAGAGTTAAGCCTCATAGACTGGCATTAAATTGACCCCTTAAGGAAATAAGAACATTCCAAAAATAATTCAGTGGCTAAAAACAATATTATATGAGGTTAGAAGCTCGAGACCCCCCGGCAGCAGCATCCTGAGCCAAAGTACCAAAGGACACCATGTTAAATGGCCAAGTAGTGTCCTAATCCGCAGCAACAGCTTTGTGGCAGAGAAAATCATTTTTCCTTCAATTGCCAAATCGTATAGATAATTCTAAGGGGCTGGTCCAGATTTTATACCAAGGATTCAGCAGGCTCAAGCTTTGATCCTGAGCAAATACAGGAATCAACATAATTTCTTAATGCCTCCCAAAATTTCTTCCCAGTTGCTGCTACCATTTATTTTGATCTGCATGAAGTTGATCTTTTGGTGGCTTATTATACTTTTGACTTGGTTAGTTTATGTCAACGAATCCATAATGCTAGTTTTCATTGTAGTCATATATACATTTGTATAACATTCTGATATAATGTTTGAGTGTATTGAATATATCTTGCCATCCATTTCAAGCAGTACTTACGTTCCCACAAAATGCCATGTAAAATGAACCAAAGCTTAGCATAGTTGGTTCATGAAACTACTATTAAGAGATGGCATCCAGTACGTATGGGATTCAAATCTCAACACTTACAAAAATGCTACAAAGCTAGATAAGGAGAATGGAACATTCTGCAACATTCTTTGTAAAAAAATGCAACGCAAAATAATATGATATTGGCCATCTCTAAGGGACACACAAAATGGACCAAGCAGAATGGAAAAAGAGGTGGTAATTAATAAATCGAATGCTTAACACATCACACTCCACTTTCTCCACTAAAAACACAAAGCACATGTAACAACTGCCTTGAGATATTTACAAGGGCTTTATGAGTGATTCGCCTACCAGGTTGCTTTCTAATGAACTTTGTAAGATCATGGTTGCCTAATACCATTCTGCAAAAAAGTATAAATTTTTAGTATTTTACTCGGATGTGCTCTTTTTTTACCCAAACAAGTGTCAAGCAACTTGCAAGGACAAGCACTTTAAAGTTTGCAGAAATTTGGGTTGGCCAGCACCATTTGCTCCAATTGAATTGTTTATCATGTAACCTATCACGTATGCATTATGTGCCTTTTTCACTTTAGAGTAAATACTGCAAGACAGAGGATGTTGAGTTATCCTTGGTTCCATCATCCAACTAAGATACATCTCTCCTGTACTGCAAATTTTCCTACTGATTTTGAAATGTGATCAATTTTTTTGAGGCCACTGGGAATAAGGTAAGTGGTTGCAGGTGCTAAGATTTGAACCCTAAACTTGTTGAATGCCAGCTCTCAGGGTGGCTATAACCTGCATGAACCGAGTTAAGCTCTGCGTTTGAAATGTGATCAATATGCTGTGAGAACATATTTACTTATCAGAGCATGAAAACTAAGAGATGCTGAAGCTGAAAGGGAGCAAGTCAAGTTTAAATTTCTCACTACAAGAGACAAGCAGGAACTCAAACATACATCAAAATCAGGAAATCTGGCACTGAGAATGTGGACTGCTGAAGTCTAATGCAAGCTGCCAGAACTCAGTTGTTCTCCAAGCAACACAAAGGAAAAGGCTTCCCCTTCTTCTGGAGAATTGAACAGTTCCTAAATGGAAAGACAACCATTGAACAATCAAAGCCATCCATCTTGGATTTCTTTTTTTTGAAACCACAACAGCTTCCACTTCTTATGCAGGAACATACAATAAAGGTGCAGCCGGTGGATGGACTACAGAGATATATGAGACAGATTTTGAAGCACCAAAATGAAACAATCGTCGTCTTGTGCAGTCAGACTTATTGGCGACTTGCAGTTGATAATCCATCTCATAAAACTAGATAAGGAGATTAACAATTGACTTAAAATATCTAACATTCATATTACTAGAATCTGCTACAATTAGTTCTCAGTCCTCGCTCTCCTTCTCTTTCTCTTCAGTACCATTACAGCTACTCAGAATTTCTCTCTCAATACAAATTAACTTCACAAATCTCACTTAATTTATCAATTCCACTCACAGAAAAAAGAGACAAGAAAAACAAATTTAAGAAGCTAAACAAATTGAGAGGCTATAGATCAAAATCATGATTCCAGCTTTTACTATGCTTTGAAGAACCATACACCTGCTATTTAAAGAAACTAACAATCGGCACATCTGCTAAATTGTGGCCTTGGACTTGGAGTGTGGCGGTTATTAGCTCCTGACCCTGGATAATCGTTCAGCTCCACAAACACCCTCCCCTTAATGATTTGAGCCTCTGAACTTTTCTCTGCAGTTATCTGTGAAAAAGAAATATGTCATTAAGTAGAATCAGGAGTTTCATTCTTTTAGCATAAGAAGAAAGATGTATTCCAAGTTTCAACTGCTTTGTTAATAAAGTACCAGGTGAGTATTCTCTGGAACTGGATGAACTTGAGGTCCACGCATTAGGCTTCCGATTCCTGCAAGCAAAAAATGAACATGTTGTGGCATGCAGAAGAATAAGAATAAGAAAGGCAAGAGATAGAGGTTATGGTTTACAGAATATTTACTTGTAACTGGGACAGCATTCAAGCATATAATGTGAGATAATCCCAATAAAACAAGAAGTAGGCGAAAGAGAGTGCTTTCCATTGCTGACTTGCTATAGCAGTCTTTCTTGTAGACAAATGTATATTTATAAAGCTACCACACAATATACACATTTATATCTTAGACTTTTATAGACAGTTATGATGTTGGTGGAGGGGGACAACCACAATTCCAAAGTCAAAAAGTTGACAAGAAGAACGGAAAAAAATTGTGGGGGCTTAACGCGTATCCAATTTCAGCAGAGCTTTCACTCCTTTTCTTTTATCACCCTGTAAATATGAACCATAGAAAAGAAAAAGACATACTGTACACACTGAGGCTAAGTGGAGGGGGATATCATGAAAATTATATTCAAGCCACAAGGTGAGTAAAGATGGAGCACATTGTGCAAGTGGAAGGTGATCAAAGAATGATATATGATGGTATGGAAGCACCTGAGGTCTTAATTTATTTAAAGCCTAAGGTATATGGCGGGAATTATCATTAGTATTTAACGATGTTCAATGAATTGAACCGGCATAGGCATGAAATGTTAGTATCATGAAAAAAGCAAGAAATCCCCTAAAAGCTAGAACAGTTGGCTTGATTGCAATCGCAACCTGGATTAGAAAATGGAGGCAGAAAAGACTACAACCACTAATTATGGTAGCAATATGGCATATGCTGCTTTAGGTTTCAACAGGTGGAAGAACTTGTATTAGATGAGATTCAAGGTCATATCATTTGGCCTTAATCAGATATCTAAGGGGAACAATCACTAGCGCACTAAATCTTTCTCGAATAATCTAGTGCTATGATCATATTTCAAATCAATACAGAAAATCTTCAGATAATAAGTAACGATAGCTGTTCATAAGTTTTTACTCCTTAGTATTACTGGTTCTTTGATAGATGATATGTAACTAAATTTGTGCCCGCTTTTCTTGGTCAATCCAGAAAGATAACTTTTCATCGAAAAGTCATCAAAAAGCACCCTTGGAGCAACTTGACGTCCTGTACATGAATTTTCCTTGCTCTTTCTTGGAAAAAAAAAAAAACCATAGCTAATTTAATAGTGCTTGCAATTGCATGCTTTGGCTAGACAAAATTTTGGTTAAAAATATAGACAATGTTGCAAAGCACTTTTTATAGCCACCCGTGAAAAGGTTGACTTATGAACAAAGAAGAGCAAAAGCTTTGATCCGTGAAACAACCCAAATGGTTGAATAAAAGTTTAAAAATACATAAAATAATGGCACCTTTGGCCCATATTAAGAGCCACTTTACAATTTTCTCTGCTTTATGATAATATCTTTGAATAAAAGCTAGTCAAACTCATGTAATTTAGTGGCGGATTGTACGATCGTTGTGGCAAAAATGGTTGAAATCGAGTTTATGTTTACATTTGGTTTTTGGAAAGAAGAAAAAAAAAAGTAGGATTATTATGCATTTAGTCATAGAAAGTTGCTAATGTTTATACATGTTTTTATTAAAAAAAAAAAATGAAGCTGCAAATAGTTGGTCTTGGATCAGCTATATTATACCATGTATAAGATAGGATTTAGACGAAGTTTTTTTTAGGTGAAATTTGTAAAATTTTTTGTTTTAATAATTTAATAAAAAATTTAATTTAAAATTTAAATTGATAAAATGATAGAGTTTAACAAAAAAATTAATAAAATAGTAAAAAATTATCAAAATTTTTAGTAAAAATATCTCAACATTTATTAAAATTTTTTTGTTAAAATACTAAAAAGAGTCCTTAAATTTTATTACTTTATTTAAATAAACTCTTAAACTTTTATTATACTTAAATAAGCTCTTATTCTTTTATTTCTATCTAAGTCTTTATTTCAATTAAAAGATTTATTTATATTAAAAGCTTAATTAGGTATAAATTACAGGTTAAAAGCTTATTTAGATATAAATTAAAATTTAAAAGCCTATTTAAATATAAAGTAGAGGTGGTCATAAGTTGAATCCAATCATATTCAAGTCGAATTCATATTTAATATTAATAATTTATATATTTGTCTTAATTCTATCCAACCCAATATTTTAAGACTAAAATTTTTCTAAGCCCAAACCATGTTAAAAAAAATAAAACCCAAATCCACTTATTAAGCCTAATTTATAAAATAAAAATATATATATTTTAAAAAATAAAATATTAAAATAAAAATTTACATATATATTTATATAATTATAATAATTTAATTATATTTATATTTTTCGGATTGGATTCGAGCTTTAATTCTTATTTTAAAGGTGGGCCCAATATTTAAACGAGCTTAAAAATTTTTCCCACACATAGTTAAAAGATTTTAATTTTTTATCTAATCCTTTTCAAAATTTAGATAGATCTTTGAACTTAGGCAATTACTTGAGCAGGTTTGGTGCAAAGTAAAAATTAAAGCTTTATTTAGGTGCAATAAAAATATATTAATTTATTTAAATAAAGTAGTAAAATTCATATGTTTTTTTTATTAATATAGCTAAAATTTTCAAATTTTACATAATTAAATTATGTAATAAGATCTTTTAATCTATCAATTTAAATTTTTTAATTTAATTTTTATTTTATTGATTTTAATAAAAAAAATTTACAAATTTCATCCAAAAACGTTGTATAAGCTTGACTTTCCAGATTTGCTAGACCCAAAATAGCAAGGCCCAAAGCTGAACATATCCAAAATGAACCTGCAAAACAAATGTCTATCACAATTTCAGACGCAGTTCAGTTTCCAATTCTGAAATGCAAAATATAAGCAACATATGGGTAGTGTTTACAGCCTTGTCTCAAAGCAAATTAAAAATTAAAAATACTATTAAGCTTGTGAGTAGATTGGCTAATCCAACAAAACAATATATGAGAAAAACCTGAATGTCGTACGGATAAAGCTCGGCATTATATATGAAATCTATATTATTGTTCATTTGTTCAGATTGATCAAGTGGAATCTTGAAGGAGAAATCCTACGCCATGTGCAAATCATATAGCTAGGAAGCAAACATGGTCAGGCTGCTGGATTTTTTAGTTCATCGGCTGCAACCAACAGTGTTTGGAGTTCCAACCCAAGCACAACTTAAGCTTGATTGATGGACAGAATCTACAACAGGTGTCGCGGGCTTCCAAAATAATATATAACTTTAACATACATCATACATCATACAACAGTTCTTTTAATTCAAATTAATAATTTAAAATACGATATAAATATAAAATATAAAAATAATATAATTTAAAATTTTAATAAAATTAAAAAATATATTTTATATTTTTATATCAATATAAATTATAATATATAATTTTTATATAACATATAATATAAATATATAAATTTTAATATTTTATACTTTTTACCGATGCCCAACATTCAATCCATCGTGTGAAATCCAACACCATCATACACCAATGCGACAGTTCTTTTCAGAGTGATTATGATATTATTAGTCATCGTAGTGCTCCAAACCCACACGGCAGTATTCTAAGTGATCCAATATCATTTGTTATGGACTTGGATCTCAATCCAAAAAACTAACTTATCAGACAAAGTGGTCATCTTTTTATTTAAATTGAAGCTCACTTTAACACACATTCTATTTGAGACTTAGAATACACTTGCAATACGTGACACAAGAATCTAGCTCAATTCTAGTTCAATTGGGCTACTTTCCATCCTCGTAGTAGATATTCATGACTACTTTTCAGCCAGGACTTGCGAACCTAATTCCTCTTGCTTGATTCTAGATAAGCTAATTCATAAATGCCATATATTCCATAATTCCATATTACATAACTGAAGCCTTTATACCTAAGTTGACTTGAGTGCAGTAGTGGATTTAGAATTTTTTTTTTTTTTTGGAATCTATTTATTGTAATGGATGTTTGTTGAGTGCTAGATTTTGGCGTTGGGATATTGGATAATGACAATGAATGAAGTGATATTAAGTAAATTTTTGAGGAATCCAAGAAGAAATTTAGGAAGTGTGAAGATAAATTTTTTATTTTAAATTTTAAATCTTTGAAACTACCCAGTTGCGTGATGCTTGATGAAAAAAATTTACAAATATAAATCTTTCTTTTTTATGTTTAAATTTATCAAAATTTCACTGAAATTGATAATTTTACACTTTACCAATTGCTCCACCTGTCTCTTCTAACTTTTTACTAAACTCTTTTAACTTTTACCAATGAAATTTTTTTTTTACAATTTACTTTCGGTACCAATTTTTTTCCTTATGACCTTTTTTTTTTCTTACTTACACTTTTGTCAATCAAATATTTGGTTTCTCTTTTTTTCTTTATATTTGGTGATATCTGACGCAAAAGTCTCAAGCGGTGTTCATCTTTTCATTTAAGTGGGAAGTACGTGGCAAGATTTGACTTCCAAATCTCATATTTTTCTTCCTCTTAATCAAAAAAACACGCCGCGAACATTCTAGAAATTAACTACGATATGCATCTCTTCATGCATTTAATATTTATTTATTTATTTATTTATTTTTATTGGTAGGAAAAAGAAACATAAACTTAGTATTTTTAGTAAAAATAAATGTGTAATTATCTTTAAATTAAATTTTTAGATGCTTAAATTTAAATATGATAATTTTAAATATAATATGATGATATGATAATGATATAAAAAATATATAAAAATAATATGAATTTAACAAAAATTATATGAATTTAATAAAAATATATATTTAATGCATCAACATAAATTATAATAAAATAATTTTTATATTTTATATAAATTTAATACAAAGTAAATACAATATGAATATATAAATTTTTAAATCTAATTGAAACCTTAATTCTCACTACTCATTTACCTTATTAAATTCCTCAATGGAACAATTTGCTTTCTTGTTCCACAAATGATGTCGCTTTAACTTATGCAGAAAAAAAAAAAAAAAAGAAAAAAAGTGATGATAAAGTATATTCTTAAGAATTGTCTCTGCCAAACTGTTTCAACAGTCCTAACTTTATCAACATGTCCAAATCATAAGCTTAACTTAACCTAATACATATATTAAGAAAAGCACACATGTTGGACTGTTAAACCGCCCACGCGACCGTCCCAAATTAATCTAATCTAACTTTAATCAAAAAGTTACTTTCTGATTAAGAGATTTAATCAATTTTTAAAACCCCCAATTTAAGTGTATGATTAAATTAATCCAATAATTAGACCACCGAAAGATTCAAAGATGCATTAGGTTCCATTTTATCTCTTAAGAGTGAATTTGGATTCATTGCATTTGCATTGAATTTCATTGCACTTACAGTGTGATGGAATTTAGTCTTTTTTCTTAAGGGTTAATTGCATTGTCAAGTACATTTAAATAACATCTTACGGTTTAATGGTTTAGTAGAGTAATTGACTGTCTTAATGTAAAAATAAAAATTATAAGAGATTTTTCATGTGTCTATAGGACAGTAGACTATTTTAGGTGAGGAAATCAACTGGTATACTCATTCTTATTATTATCGTTGCATTTACATTTAAATATATATTTTTATTATTAATTTTAATTTTATTATTATAATATTTAATTTTAATTTTATTGACACCATTATTTATAATTATATCTAGTGATGGCATCGAATAGTAAATAAACAAATATCCATTACTATCCTATCTATTTACATCGGATTTTGATAATTAAAAATAGATAATTAACAAATTTATATATAAATTTT